GCTGAGTTCTTTATCTCTTCATTTGATGTTTAGGGTTTCAGGATTGACGTGTGACTCTGTTTGACTTAGTTTTTCTGATCTTTGCTGTGGAGGGGCACCGTGGTGCTTCTGACTATAGCGCCATGTTGCCCAGGAGAAGAATTCTTAATCAAGAGCATTTACATAAAAGATTTTACATGCCTAGTAAAAATAGGTACCATATATTTCATATATTAGTCTGGGTTTTATAAAATTGAAAACACCAAAATCAGAATTCATTCAATTCTTATTCAACAAAACATCCCAACGAAAACAGGCTACAATTTGTCCCACAAGATTACATGTCAGTGAGTACACTGGGCTGATACCTACAGCCAAGTTACCAGCAGAGTCTCTACACAGAGCCCCTACCCAGAATCCAAACCAGTTGTATTGTGAGTGCCTTCCAACCTGAGGGGCTCATCTTCCAGCATTGTATCAGACAATGTTCTCCTGCTATTCATAATGTTTCAATTGGCCAATTTTTTTCAGAAGTAGACTAGCAGGTCCTTCTTCCTAGTTTATCTTAGTTTGGAAGCTCCACTGAAACATGTTCACCATGGGTGACCCTGCTAATATTTGAAATTCTAGTGGCATAGCTTCCAGCAACACAGCAACACTCAAGCCACCACAGTACAACAAACTGACAAGCACACAGGGAAAAAAAACATAAAGACTTAGTAAACAAAAAACAACAACAATGAATGAAATGAAAAGAAAATCCACATATAAAAATAACTCAGCAAAGAAAATTTAAGCTGAACAAAGAGATTGTCAACACCACAAAAAAGTACAACAAATGACAGCAGTAAACTCATACCTATCAATAATCACATTGAATGTAAATGGCTTAAATGCATCAATAAAGAGACAGAGAGTGGCAGAATAGATTAAAAACACTACTTAGCAGTATTCTGTCTACAAGAGACACGTCTTAGACACAAAGACATAAACAAACTAAAACTCAAAGGATGATAAAAATATATCAAGCAAACAATAACCAAAAAAGAGCAAGAGTGGCAATATTAATCTCAAATAAAATAGACCTTAAGGCAAAATCCACCATAAAAGATAAAGAAGGGCATTATATAATGATTAAAGGGTCAAGCCACCAAGAGGATATAACCATAATAAATATATATGCACCCAATGACAGGACTCTAAAATACATAAAACAAACTAACAGCATTGAAAAGAGAAATAGACAGTTCCACAATAATAGTAGGAGACTTTAACAGACTACAGTTAGTAAAGGAAGGAATATCTAGAAAGAAAATCAACAAAGGTACAGAAGATCTAAAGACCACAATCAACCAACTTGACCTCATAGATATATACAGAACACTCCACCCAAGAGCACCAAAGTATACATTCTTATGGATTACATACGGAACATTCTCCAACATAGACCAGATTTTAGGCCACAAGACAAACATTAACAAAATCAAAACACTGAAATAAAACAAAGCATTTCTCTGATCACAGTGCCATAAAAGTAGACATCTATAACAGGAATAGCAAGGGAAAGAAAAAATCAAATACATGGAAACTGAATAACACCTTCCTTAAAAACCACTGGTAATAGCAGAAATCAAAAATGGAATAAAAAAATTCCTAGAATCAAGTGAGAATGAAAATACATCTTACCAAAATCTTGGGGACACTGCAAAAGCAGTGCTGAGAGGTTAATTTATAGGAATCAATGCACACATCAAAAAAGAAGAGAGGGCCAAAACCAAAACATTAACCCTTCAACTTGAACAAATAGAAACAGAGCAGCAAAAGAAGCCCACAGTCACCAGAAGAAAGGAAATAATAATGGTGGCGCAGTGGTTAAAAGGTCGGCTGCTAACCAAAAGGTTGGCAGTTCGAATCTACCAGCCACTCCTTGGAAACTCTACAGGGAAGTTCCACTGTGTCCTGTGGGGTCACTATGAGTCGGAATCAACTCGATGGAAACAGGTTTGGTTTTCTGGTTTGGTAGAGCAGAAATAAAAGAAATAGAGAACAGAAAAACAATAGAAAGAATCAACAAGACCAGAAGTTGATTCTTTGGAAGGATCAACAAAATTGACACACCATCGGCCAAATTGATAAAACAAAAGCGGGGAGGAAGCAAATAACCCATATAAGAAATGAGATGGGTGACGTGTCGCTGTACTCTGCAACCCCAAAGGCCACTGGCCCGGACACCCCGACCTCATCCTGTTGGCTTGGCCCCCATGTTGCCATGCTCTGGGGCCCAGAGGAGAACAGGCTTGGACAACCAGACCCCTCCCCATCGACTTGGGCCCCACATCACCGCACTCTGTGGCCCCGAGGGGTACTGGCCCAGACCCCTAGACCTTCCCTGCCAGCTTGGGTCCTGCCTCACCATGCTCCAATGCCCCAAAGGGAACTGGTCCGCCCTGCCACAGGCCCTGCTCCAGACCTCAACCCCGGGCCAGTTCACAACATAAATGACCCATTTCCGTCCCTTCCTCCGTGCTGAACCTGTCTTACTGCACCACAGCTGAACGACTGGCCTTGAACACCCGGACAAGGTGGTGAGAACTATCGTGCCCAGAGACAAGTAAACAACAAAGCATGCCTGGCCTGCCTGCCCAGACATAACCAAACAAAAAAGCAGAACAAAACAAACAAACATACAACCAATAAATAAAGAAAATAATACCTGAATGTCTTGGAGACAGAAAGCAATATCAAAACATATAAAAAAACAGGACAAGCTGGCTCCAGCAAATGACCAAAATAAAGCACCAGATGACCTTCTGGCAGAAGAAAAGGCACTGGTACTACCTGATAGGGAATTCAAAAGTCTGATATTCAGGGCTTTCCAAGAGATTAGGAAAGAGATCAAGGAAAATGCAGACAAAACCATGGAAAAGACAGAAAAAAACAACTAAAACATAGCCAAAATCAAGAAAAACACAGACAAAGCAATAGAAGAATTCAGGAAAATAAGACAAGAACGAAGTGTCAAAATAAATAAACAATTAGAAACCGTACAAAAACAACAATTAGAAATCCAAAAGACAAACAACACAATTTAAAGAAGTGGACAATGCAATAGGTTTTAGGAGCAAATCTGAAACAATGGAAGACAGAATCAGCAAAATTGAAGACAAATCCATGGATGCCACTTTGCTTGAGGAAAAATCAGGAAAAAATGAAGAAAAACTAAGAATTATGTAGGATACAATCAAGAGCAAAAATTTGTGTGTGATCGGAGTACCAGAAAAAGGGAAGAAAATGGAAAACACAGAGAGGATCACTGAAGATTTGCTGACAGAAAACTTCCCTAATATCATGAAAAATGAAAAGCTGACCATCCAAGAAGATCAATGAACCCCATATAGGATAGA